TATAACACACACACACACACACACACACACACACACACACACACACACACACACACACACACACACACACACACGCACATGCAAGTGGAGGGGCGGTGTGCAAGGGCGACTCCAAGAAACGAGCAATTCACTAACTCCAAAAGACGAGAAATTTACAAACCGTGTTTCACACACACACACACACACACACACACACACACACACACACACACACACACACACACACACACATGTAAGTGGAGGGGCGGTGTGCAAGGGCGACTCCAAGAAACGAGCAATTCACTAACTCCAAAAGACGAGAAATTTACACACCGTGTTTGCTTGTTGTGCAGGTCGATGCAAAGTGGAGGGGCGGTGTGCAAGGGAAACTCCAAAAACACGCTCTGTCCCCACTGATTTCTAAACGTACAATTCCGCCTCGCTACACGACTCCCAACATGGACAAAACACAAAAATTATGCAAGTTTGTCCTTCCATGTTCTAGGGAAAGATTCATTCTTATTTTGCACAATTCGTAAGCGGTGGAGCAAGGCCTCTTTGACGGGGCACAAATCGGTAGCGACGTGTGGTGTAACGGGAGGGAAGGGCCCTCCTACTGGTATCGGTTCGCGAGTGCATATATATTTTTTTTAGGGTTCTCCTGTCCGAAAAGTAGGTCATTTTTTTAGAATGAAACGCTCGGGCGTTGTAAATGAATATTACGCTCGTAGGGCGTTATATTGGTACATAACACCCGGGCGTTATTTTCGGGCGAAGACGGTAGGCTTCGATTCACTTTCACTGATCCGGAGGTCCAACCAAGGTTTGGTTGCCGCATCCTCCGACTTGGCTGGGATCTTGGCTCCTTTGGGGAGTGGGACATAGTTCTTCCCTAAGTTCCAGTTTGGCCCTTTCACATCGGCAGACTTTGTAAAGGCATTAAGTTGCTCTTCATCGTTATTAATATCGGACTCATGGGCTGAAGATGAACAGATTGTATCATAGTCCTGCTCTTGCTCATCACCAAGAGTGGGGTCATTTGCATAGGCCTCCTGATCAACCCCCAACAGGTCGTGCACAACAAAACGGTTGCTGCCTCTAATTCGCTTGTCGCCTATAGGCTTCTGTTGCCTGTTGTGGAAACGAGGTCTTGGGCCTCGAGGATGACTACATCCTAGATGAGGGAAAGCCAGTCCATGTATCCAATGAGATCTTTGCTCAGGCGATGTGTGTAAGTAGTGGGAACCGCACCTTTCACAACATCCATGCATGACTCTGCAATCATTTCCAACCCAGGAGTAACAAAAAGTTTGCTCACATACAATTGTAGGTTGTGCATGGTGGCCGACCACTTGCTGCGCTTGAGATAGTCAAGCTTGTTCCTTACTCTCGCATCAACATTCGGATCTTTATGTTATTTATTCGAAATCTCTTCGTGTGTGGTCATTGGTGTGGCCTTGAGCCACTGCGTCAGATCAATCTTAGTGTACCCGACTTGCATAGCTTGGACTTCGAAGAAGCCCTATACGACGGTTTTGACGTTTGCCCCAAGATCAAGGACTAGCTTATCAATTGAATTCCTAGCACCTCCAAGTAGTCTCTCATGGAGTTGATCCAGGGCTCTACGTCTTCCTTGCCGTCATACTTGGACGGTATCTATACCGCCTTTCTGTCCACATAGGGACTGCTATAGCCGGCACCAGCAAATGTTGTGTTTGAACTCGAGGCTGCAGTAGTTGCAGAAAACCCTGCATTGTTGCTTGTTGCAGTGGCAGCGGGGTCTGCACCTACTTGAGGTCTCGATTGAACCACACTCAGAGAAGGAGAAGTGGAGGTATGGAGAGGAGCAAGGACAAACTGGTTACCAAGAAGGTGACAGTCTATGAGAGCACGTACACGCTTGACCAGACTTTTCTTCTCCTGAGTGTCAGGCAAGGAGGACACTGTTTTGAAAACAACTTCATGGTCCGTAATAGAGGTTTTCCGATTCTCCTCCTCTGCCTTCTCTTCCCTCGCCAGTGCCTCGTCATAGAGGACTTGGAACAATGGTTTGTCCTCATTGTTGGCCGCATCTAGTTTGGCCTTTAAGGCCACAAAGGCCTTTCCTGTTGCCATGTTAGAACTACCGAGGTTTTCAGCTGACAACACAGAAAAAGATTCAGCAAGTTTCTCAAGATGGGTGATCGCTCCCTCCCTTTTCTCTCTCTCCTCCTTTTGTCCACGAGTCTCTACGAGCATCGAAATATGAACTCAGAAAAAGAAACAAATTGAAAAGCTCGAAGAAAGAGAAGGTAGAACTCTTAGTTGGAGTTGCATTACATTTGGACTAGAGAGCAACCATTAAAGGGGAAAAAAAAATCAGATGAGAGGTCTGATCCAGCGTCTCAGCCTGATCAGACTGAATACAAGGTCCCCTCGAGTCCAATTTGATCAGTTCCGTGGACGTACAACAAATTCCGACAACGAGTAACGACATGCAACAATGAAGAATTGAGTGGCGTATAAGGTGTGAGTCAAGCCACGGATTGTGCAGTAAAAGTATACAAAACATCTCAGCCGAGATCCCCGCAACAGCGAGTGCTCTAACCAAAGAATAAAACTTTGTGTCCCACACAGAAAAAGAATGATCTCGCGTTAAAGAGATTTGGGCCTAAGGGGTCCTTTTTGCTTGGGCCTGCTCCCATTGGGTACCGAAAAGGTCCCAAGTAGGCCGTGACCAAGTCCAACCAAGAAGTGTCCCACATGGACCGACTTTCTTCCTCTATAGAAATGGAAAATGAATTTCAACTTCAGAGAGAACCTACAGTCTACATCCGTTCGGAAACAAAAGACAATGCACATCTGAAGCAAGATACCTCATTTATTCATCCATCAGGTGAGAAAGTAGTTTGCATACCCATACACACAATCAAGACCACGGAGGAGTAGGAAAAGAAACCCAAAATAACTCCAACAGGACAATGAAGCAAGATACCTCATTTCTTCATCCATCAGGTNACCTCATTTCTTCATCCATCAGGTGAGAAAGCAGTTTGCATAACCACGCACACAATCAAGACCACGGAGGAGTAGGAAAAGAAACCCAAAATAACCCCAACAGGACAATCAATACCATGCACACACATACAATGGCGTCCCGTAGGTGCATTGCACTTACTTGAGTGGCCTCAACTTTGAGATGAATAGAACTCACCCCCCTCTCATTTGGTCCTCCTGACCCCTTTAACACAACCCCTAAACTAGTGCCCTATCTACTAGGAGGGTCTGACTCCAACACCAAAGTGCCCCGCCGATGCTGAAGATCACAGTAGCAACTTGCAGTCCGTAGATGCAGAATCGCCACCTCCCTCAAGCTCGCCTACTTGAGGGAGGCTCTAAAGTCGCCAAGTGTCTCCCTTGGGTCAGATTCCAAGTGTGAGTGCCTCTCACTGTCACCGCTCCCAAATTGTCGCACGCAGTCTTCTCGAAGTGTCTCGCCACTCCAAACTTACTCTCCATCAACCTGGTCAGGTCCAATGTCGACCCAACACGACTTAACCAGGTGGAGGTAGCTTCCCTCAACCACGCTGCCCCACTTCCCTCACTTTCAGCCCTAACCCTAAATGGTAGCTCTCCACTTAGGTTAGGGTTGGAGCAGCAAAGTCAACTCTCGCCAGCAAGTAGAATCTGCTCCGATACCAATGTTATGATCCTGTCCAGTTTCGAAGTACAAATTCATGAGAAAGCACAATGTCGTCCAATTGCGAAAAGAAATGAATGAACTTGAGAGGAGAGAGAGGGAAAGAAGAAGAAGAAGAAGAAAGAAAGAAGAATAAGAAGATGTACACCAACAACGACCAATGATAATTCCCTTCTTCTCGCCAACCACTCTCCTCCTGCTTTTCTTCTCCCCTTATTCAAACAATAAATAATAATAATAATGTTGAATGACCGAAACATAATCAATGTCCGAATCCCTCTTCTACTGCAAATTCAGCATGAGGTCCACCATAGCCATGGCCACCCTTGTCCTTCCTCTTCCTGAAGGTCGAGGATTTGGCGGACTGTTAGGGCCTTGCCCTGATGTGCAAAAGACAACTCAAAGCAGTTGTGGCTGCTCTAGCTCAGGCCGCCATGCCTGACTCTGCCTCGAAGCTTCTTGGTGTAGCTCTACGCCAACTAGGGCCTTCCAGATGCAGCACCCACCAAGGTGATGAAGATGGCATCCTCCATAGCCAGGTAAGTACCTCTGGCGCTCTCCTCTCCTAGTCCTCTTCTTCCTCCTCCTCCAGCCCATGCTCCTCCAGCATAGCCATGGTGGGGAGCTGGGCGCTCCTCTCTCCCTAGCAGCGCTGCTCCAACCAGTGCTGCTCCAGCCAGCACTCCAAGCAGTGTGTCGCCAAACTTGCACACCGACGAATGGGGAGGAGCCCCTTGCTCCTTAGAGATATAGCGGCCTTGCCTCTTGGGCGGTGACTTCCAAGTCGGACAGCCTCCAAGCAACCAGTACCTCCGCCTGCTCGGAGGGAAACATCATTCTAGACTCTGATATTGCCCGTACAGGCCCTGTACTCGGATTGGTTGGACTGGTACCCTCCTAGACCTAGCCTACAGCCAACGGGCCTCTAAAAATGCCAACTTTTGGGCATTTCTACCCCTACTTGGTGTGGTACCGGCCTACCTGCTACTTGAGTGTTTTTCCGCTGCTCTAAGTGTCGCAGGCCTCTTTCTCCGCCACTTGAGTGTTTTCCCCGCTGCAACCCTCAATGTCACGGCCACAGGTAAGTACCAGCCCTTTGGGCCTCCCATACGGACGGGTACCCTTGCGGGTCACACACACACTCAAATCGACAAGCACTCAGACAGGCATTCATACCGGCAAGCACGCACACACACAGACTTGGAAAACTCGACAACAAGCAGGAAACTCATCAAGGCATACATTCCATTTGGCAAAACTCAGAAATGAGTTGTGCGTCTCAGTCCGTGTTTGGCAGGTCCTTACATCCATTCTCTTTGCTCCCTTCCGTCTCCACCTACTGTCGTACTGTCGTATGGGGGGTACATATCGGGTTCCAGGGACAATGCTCCTTGCAGCACCCACACACACCGGGGGCTATCCAAATTGTCATAAAAAGTTGACCCCTGGGATTCTGATCCATTAATGTAACAAACTCCACGGACATGGATTGTCATAGTTGTACTGGTTTGATCCCTGCTGCGGACTTTCGGCATTGCATACCCAAGTGGCCCCTCCCTCAACACTTACAACAGAAGGGATTGGGATTGATAGATACGAAGATTGTGATTCTCTGCCCGTTTTTGCAAAAAATCCAGACTTGTGGAAATTTTGGCGGAGCCCCAAGCTTTTAACCTCCAAACAGGCCACCATTGAATCATGATTGGGTGCCAAGAAGTCCGGGTTCGCCGGCAGCCAATTAATAATAGGGTTTATTTGGGTATTCCTCTGACAATCGTTTTTGGACAAAGTTGTGCATGCCCTCTAACAGGTTGTCAAATTAGACCAAATAATGCTCCCTCGTCATTGTCTGTCTGTGGCAAGAGGCTTCCGCTTGCGGGTGTCATAGGGGTTTCCACGCTTGGATCATGACTATCGCTCTACTGCGCATAAGCAGAGTCCGCGGAGATGACAACAAACTTCCCCCGCTTATGTTATGAAACTTTTGGATCTGACTGCGGTACACTCTCCAGCCCCCTCAGTCGCTCCATAACCCATCTCCTCTTTTCATTTAATGACAAATCTCGATTCTTGCTTGCGCGGCATGTCGATCATATAGCTCGTTCAATGAAGGAATATCATGTTCCAGATACTCCCAAACATCCACTTCGTCTTCCTTCCCCCCTGGTCCCTTCATGATTTCCTTCGTGACTTTAATGGACGCTGTTGTTTTTGTTTTTTGCATCAGAAATTCGATCACTCTTTGCCTTAGTGCCCTGGAGTGCGTGGGTGTCTCCTGAGGTTGTCGTCGCTTGTGAAGTTTTCCCCTCCCTCTGTTCTGTGGTTACCTGTTCCGACGTCTTTTTGTCCTCCTCCTTCATAGCCCTTTGGGCTGCCTCTGTATACAAATGAGACATGGTGTCCTCCTTTTCTCCTCGTATCCTTCTGCCTTATTCTGTTTCCCTCACCCTTCTGCTACATTCTTCATTTTCTTTTTTCGCTTTTATTTTTGTATTTGTTTCACCTCCTGTTGTGACCCCCTTGATCCGCCTTTGTCCTTAATCCTACCCGCGATGGCGATGATGGATGACCCATCCGGTTTTCGGCTTGTCTGTTCTCTTACTTGCTGTTAACTCCCCCTCTCCTTCCTTGGCCGTTACTCATTCCCCTTCTCTCCAAATCCCTCAGCCTCTGACACATGCCCAGTTGGGCAATGTGTAATTAGCCAAGGATCCGTTGTCGAGCGCATCGGCCCCCGCCTTTTTCGCAAAGTGCGGGAGCCCTCCCAGCCATGTCACGCAGGAGTTAAAACAAAAAGCAAAACACAGAGACAACTCGGGGACGACACATAATTAATCCCGCGGGCCGTCGAGACGGTTGCGGTCGCGTCGTCCCTTCGCCGCTCTAGTCGGGTGCGCCAACTCTACACCCCGCGATCCCCTATGACAGGACAGGTTCTCGCGGTGCATAAGCTTACTTCCCTAGGGGGCTGTCACCGCCCTTAGGGGCGTATCCCTACCGAGCTACTGACCCACATGCGAAAGCTTTTATATGTAGTTGCAGAGGTGGGTCAGCCGAGGGCGTTTGCTCGCTCGCTGTAGTATAGGTACGTGCGATTAAAACGCCTATTGAACCCGGACGTTGTCCGTTCCTTAGGGCGCTGATCTCCTAAGTACGAAGTGTACGCCGATCAACAAGGATGGTCTCAAGCAATCGTGAAAACTCTTTGCCCCTTTAAACACTAGTTATAAAAAAGTTATAACAATCTCACATAGTTATACCAAAAGGGATTGTACCTAGTCCATAGGAATGTATATCCCATCTGCAATGATAATCGAAAGAATCAAAATCATCATTAGATACACAAGATCAAAATAATACTCGACCACCCCTGGGTCGAACTCCACAAAAATCATACAGTCGCCAACGAGGAGTTGGCTTTAGACAATAACATATATGCAGCCGACACGGTAGTCGGACAACCTTAGTTTTGACTTGATGAGATGTGCTGCCAAAGTTATTCATTCCACCTACCACCGACCTAAGATTAGGTACGAACAAACCCATCTCCACACCTGCCCAAGCTTTTTGGATGATAGGCTGCTTTGCTGATGATTCTTGATCAGGTGCATTGCTTGAAGTGTTGCATGCCTCTCGCTCTAGGAAGTGGTCTGGGGTACTCCTCCTCCTCGCCCGAGCACAAGACTCGGATCTCAAAAGTCGGGCCGTCTTCACCGAATCGGCAAAGTACCCTCCCCGTAGAACAGTCCACTCTGGGTCGATAAACACGGTCGGCTCCTAAAGCAACAACCCCCCGCCCCAGATGCTTCCTTGAGAGAGAGGATGTATCCACTGCAAGTTGCTTTCAATTATTCTTATCTCTCCTGAGTTCATGGTAACTTAGATGAAAAGAAGACAGAGGAGATAAAGAATGAGAATCATTTGAACAGGTACAGGCGGATAAGGTCATTCGGGATAGAACGGGTAATCCTCAGGAAAAGACTAAGTCCATTTGGCCTTATCTGCTTTATTTCAATCGAATTCGTTCTACAGTACACACATAATTAACTTTTTTCAAAACAACGAATCATTTTTAGCATGCAGGCAGGTGAGAAGTAAAAGAAAAACAATAATTTTCCCTTTTCTCAATTAGGCATAATCAATTTTTTTTGCAAGCATCCTTCTACCTACCTACACAACACACAGACAACACAATCAAAAGAAGACCAACAAAGTCCCACTACTCACGTCAGACTCACCTTTTCACTCATGCATAACGCCCACAACCGCACTCAACCTTTTCTCCCGAACATTCAAAGCAAAAGGGTCAAGCAATGTGTAGGTGCACACAGGTGTGAAGGGAGTCTGAGTCATCCACTGACCTTGAGTGAATTGGTGTCGAACGCGCCGTGGCTCACTCAAGAAGGCGAAGTAACATATGCGCGTGGCCGAAGAAACCGCAGTCCCGAGGTAAGTCTTGGGCCAACCGCTAGTACCAATTTACTCTTGACTCGCAAGTCCTACTCACGGCAGTCCCAAGTGTGAAGATGGCGAGCCACACTCGTCCTAGAAAAACACTCAGTCTGGTACCACGTCAGTCCCAACTGGTCCCAAGCGGTCCTAGATGGTCCCACGCGGTTCCAGGTGGTCCCATATTGTCAAACACTTCGTCGAATGACTATTGAGTCGAAAACCGTTTCCGCCACACTTCTCAAAAAAATAAAACCGGTGCCGAATCTCAAAGCTGCATGCGTCGAGACTACCGCAAATGACTGCCCGCGTCCCACGTCAGTCCCAACTGAACCCAGGCAGTCCCAAGTAGTCTAGTCCCACTGCCGCAAGTGTTGGGTAGTCCCAACTACAAAACATTTATCTCATATGGCGCATAAAAAAAAAAAACCTGCCCGTCGCGCTCAGATTTCGTACCGTCGCATGGCGTCAACCGCCACCATGTCGCATTGCTGCTGCCGTACACACCAATGGTAGCAGACCTTCACCAAGAAAAGCAGACGCCGCGCCGCAACAAAAAACCTTTCCGTGCCGTAAAAGAAACCTCCACTGCCACGCCGCACGTCCCACCGCCGTGCCGTTGTCGGTGCGAATACCCTTACAAGGGTATCCGCCCTAGTTTTTGCAAGCGACAGAAAATAAATTTAAAAGTTGAGTATACCGCGCGAGTCGCGGCAGTCTCTATTGTTTATGCGGCTGATGGTTGACTAGAATAAAGAGTGTGTGGTCGCGCAGCTTCGAGGCGCAGGTGATCTTTTTACTTTTGATTAATGACAGTGAAGAGTCGGCATGATCGCCGACCAGATTTTTTTTAGTTTTATTTTGATGAAACTAGGGTAAAACACTATTAGTTACGGTGTCGGACTTTCATCAGGGAGATTCAGGGACCGAGACTGAGCGGCGACGACGCAAGGGTATCAGAGTAACGCGAGTGGACCGAGGGGGTCAAGGACCCGGCGGGCTATCCCCCCTTGGGCTTGCTTTTGGCATAGCCAGGGCGGGACGAGTGGGTCTTTACCTCGATTCGTCATATTCTGACGACTGAAATTTTCTAAATGATTTTGTTATTTATTGTCGTTATTTTGATGCTCCGGCGCCCTTTGACTTGGGCGCAACGTTGGATTTAGAGGCCATCGCGGCCGTCGAGGACTTTTAGCGCAGACCGCTTTTGTTTAAACAGTGGGTCCCTACGTCTTCAGGATGCCGGCGGAATTCTTCTATTCCGCATATCTTGAAACATGGACCGAGGGGGTCGGAAGGAACTCGAGTGGTAGGACCTTTATGCAGGAGCACCGTCCGTTCCCCGCAGTCCGCGGTGGAGAGGTTGGGTGAGAGTATGCCTGCGGGACTCTTCCCCACCTCGGACTTCAAAGTTTCCATTTGGATATTTGCAACTACCGCAAAAAGACCTGCGTCGGGCCGTTTCCCCTAGGCCCGCGCGTGGTCACATAGCAGACCCGCGCCCTCGGTTTTGCGGCTCGCTATGAGAAGCTGGAACAGGGCTTGTCCGCTGGGAGGCTGAAGGGGTGACGGGGCCTGGTTGAAGGAGACAGGCCAGGAAAAACCCGGAGGAGACTGTGGCGAAGCAGCAATAATGCTGCCGTAGCAATCGCCCGCCGGGTTCGGCCTATACGGGCAAAAGACTAGCTAGACTGACCGGTAACTTAGTCTCCGCCGGGGTGCCTCAAGCGCTAGGGCAGCAGAAGTCACGAGAGCCCGGAGGCGCTGATCAGAACGGGTAGCAAGAAGGGGAGTGCAGAGCTACAGGGGAGGCACAGGACAGGAACGACGGGCTGATAGCTCAGCGGGTGACGGGCAGCAGCAGAGAGGAGTCGCGGAATGGCAGAGGGAATGAATCCGGGCGCGTTTCAGCACCGGATCCATTCGGAGAAGGGGCCAGGGAGCGACGGGTGAAGTGTTCGGGACCGATGGGCGATAGGGCCGAGCTGCTGAGACTGTCAGGCGCTGTGCAGTGGTGGTGGGTGAGAAAGTATCGGGGAGACGGGACGAAGACAGGCAGTGGAAGGGGAGAGTGAATTTGGACGGAAGTCGGGCTAGGTGCATTTGGTTTTGGAGATGGTAGAGGTAGATGTGAGCACAGAGGAAGAAGTTGCCATTCGCTCGATCCTTAATGGATCCGAGTGGGGAAAGAAGTAGGGTACGGCGCGTCTAGCTGGGCGATTTCAATAGTGAAGTTAGTTTTGGGTTTGGACTAGCAGAAAGAAGGTTAGTAAGGGAAATTAGTGCGCCGAAGTGAGGCGATGGCGGAAAGTGAGAAAGTGGGAGAATAAGGAAATGCTTATCTCCCTCGTTTCTGAGCGGATTTGGGCGAAGGAAGGCTCGATTCCTGGGGTTTTCGGTAAGGCGAATCTAATGGTATTGTTAGTTTTAGCTATAGGTTAGTAGTTTCGACGGGGTAAGCGTGAAGGGCCGCGCGGTTGCCATGGCAAAGTGACGAGAGGAGATGGCGGGAAAAAGAGCGGAGTAACGGATCGAGGAGAGGAGAACGGGGAGGAGAAGGCTTACCTGTTGCTCGGCGTGTCGCTCCTATCGATGGAAGTAGCTCCACTAGTTTTTGCGTATACAGTTGAACTGGTTATGTGGGACGAACCAAACTCGAGCCATGAAGCCAACCTGCGCCCTGACCTGGCCGATGTGTGGGGCCAGGTTCGTACGACGAGAGAGCACAGGTACGAGGTAAGGAAGTGCTCGGTTAGAGAGAGAGTAAGGATCTGGCGGAAAGAGCGGCGGTAAGAAGTGAAGGAAAGTGATTTAAGGAGAGAGAGAGCGTACCTGTCTTTTCTCTAGTCGAAGATCACTTTGGCCATTCGAACGAGCTTCATAGATCTGAGATCAGAAGTTTTGCCAAAGTACGGGGGTTTGAAACTGAGTGAAGGATCAGACCAAACAGCGAACGCTGTGTCTCTTCGAAACCGCTGCCACCCTGTCGGACGCGCAGGGAAGGACTTACCAGTAGGGTGGTACGTTGCCCATATTGACAGAAGAAGCAGTGTGAGGGCGGCTGTAGGATGGGAGTTCGCCTATCCGAACAACGAGGTGATCTGCAAAGTTGGGTACGTACCTGACCGCATGGTGCGCGGCTCATTCGAGCGATGGGAGTCGCGTGGGTTCTGCCGAGGAAGTAAGGACTGATCCTTTGACTGGTATGTTGCCTGCCTTACCTACGGGAATAGAGTGTGGCAGGGCGAGTGGATGGAGACTTACCTACGGATCGAGGTGTCGTTCATCCCAGTGAATAAGGCAGTAGGGAGGCAAGCTCGGGAGCGGAAACTTACCGTCTAAGCCGTGGACTACAGGCAGGCTGCGGGGGAAGCTTGCCTGTGGGCAATGTACCCCTGGCCCTCACATGCGGAGTTGCTGGGGACCAGCCGTGAAGATGCGGGCTCACTTGCAGAATGGAGGGGTAAGGAGCAAGGTCGTGGAGACTGCAGTTTACCTGCTGGCTGGTACACTGTTTATCGGGTTGGCCGAGCTAGCCGGAGGCAAACTGGAGGAGTGCGGACTCACCCATAGTTCACGCAATCCGAAGTCGAGATCTTGGCGGAGGGACTGAGCCTTTTGCAGAGGAGTATTACTGCAAATAGAAGGAACACCAAGGGGTCAACGGTTTATGGTTTGGTTTCGGTTGACCAAGTTGTTCTGCACATTGGCCATCATTGCGGGGCCCTCAGGCGACTGAAGGTATCAAGGCCCTCTCCTTGCGAGTCTGAGAGCACCATCCTTGGATCTGAGAGACTGAATCTTCCTCCCTCTGCCCTTCTAAGTCTAAGTCTAGTCTACTGGTTCTGAGAGGAAGGCGGCAGGCGGGATTGCAACCCGTAGGACCGCAGCAAGACTCTGTGGAGAGTCCACCCACCGATTGCGGGAGCTATGCCGGAACTCAGGAGGAGTTCTGGAGGCAGGGAATTGAAAGGTAACCATTGCTTCCCCTCTATAAACCCAGTTATAACCTTTATCTATATTTCTTGATAGGTTTTGACTGAGTATATTGTATGCATCCCTACTTTGACTTTCAGTTTGACTTCAGGACATAAACCAGACTTAATAAAGGAATGATTGTGCAAATTCAGTTTTAGTTTTGTTGTTTGACTGAAAGCAGATTGTGGGATTGCATCTGGGGGAAAGGTTGGGAGGAAGGCAGTTTTGCATGAGGGTTGACTGGGTCGATTGAGGCAGGGAAGTCCCCATAAGTTTGGGGAGATCCAGTGCTATGTTTTTTGGATTTGTTTGGAGCATCAGACCATTCCATAAGTTTGGGTGGTCTATTTGCTCTGGGGGCTGGGAAGTCCCCATAAGTTTGGGGAGACCCAGTGCTGTGAAATTGCTTTGAGAATCAAACCATTCTATAAGTTTAGGTGGTCTGGTTGCTCTGACTTGCGAGGGTTTAACTGTGATTGACTTTTTAGGAGCCAAGCATATTCTGTAAGTTCAGGTGGCTTGGTTGCCTTGTTTACTTTGGGTTTCTTTCTTGTTTATTGGGTTCTGAACGAGGAGGTCTGGGCCATTCTATAAGCTTAGGTGGCTCAGCCTCTTCTTGCTTTTATTATGAGGGAGCTACTGTGGCAGAGGACAAGGCCATTCCATAAGTTTGGGTGACCTTGACCCCATGTCGCGCACAGATTGGATCATAGAGGAATAAATCAGACAGAGGACCAGACATGTCCCATAAGTTTGGGTGGTCTGGTCCAATGCCTCGCACATGTTGGAACCTGAAGGCTATAATTCGGCTATACTTTATTACTATTCTATCTATGGATAGGCTAGTCAGACAGGGTCCCATAAGTTTGGGTGGTCTGACTATAGCCCTATCACGAACTGAAGAGAGTATGAAGTAAGAATAAACTGATGGTAAGAAGGGGCAGGCTGGATCTCGAACAAAGTTGATCGGTTCAGTCATATGCTGCCTTATAAGATTAAGTCCAGATAATTATATAAAGTTGGGATACTTAAACAATTCAGGGCGACTAGGGTGGCCTAGTCACATGCCCAAAGAAGAGAGAAATAGTTGTGCCCTCTGTTTTGTGTATACTCAACGGCTAAGTTAGGCATGCCCGATAAGTTTGGGTGGTCTGACTTTATGCCTTATGTAAGCTGGGTGTAAAGGGGAAGATCATTGAAAGACTACGGACTATTGTTTGATAAGGTTGACTTGGGCTGGTGAGAGTACTTACCTCTGTGGTTTGGCCTTGCATGTGGCTGAGTGAAATCGCTACTTAGTCTGAGTTTCAGTTTGAGAGGTAGCTGCTTTAGTTGTTCGCCACGTGCAAAAGCGATAGGAGTTAGTTCAATTTCTGTATTTTCTGAACTAAGTTATTTTTACTTAGATCAATTTCTGCATTTTCTGGGATCTTTTGTTATAACTTGGCTTTGTATAAATTTTGGTAAGCTACTTTCTCTACGGGAAGCGCCATCGAAATTTCTGCAAATCCGAGGAGTTAGTCAAATTTTGACTTTTCAAAGTTCAATTTGTCTAATTTGTATATATGGCTTAGTAAAAATCTGGACAATCTCCTTTTGTAAAGGGAGTGCTGCCCAAATTTTTGCTAATTCAGGGAGTTGGACAAAATTGGACTTTGGAAATTTGAAGGTTATTTTCTGTTTTCGTATTCAGACTGATATAAATTCTGAAAAGACAATTTTCCTACGGGAAGCGTTGCCAAAATTTTCTTAGTTTAAGAGGAGATAAAATATATTTTGACAGGTGGCGATTCTGGCGATGCACTCTGTATAGAGGAGATTCTGCCAGGGTCTACTTTTCTTTTGACACTTACTTAGAGGTTGACTTAGGTTTAGTTAAGTAGAACGATTTTGGTGAGATCGTGATATGAAGATTATTCTCATGGACGTATAGGTTTAGCCTGGGGATTGGCCTGTCTTGTGTTACAGGTCCTCTTGATCGATTGATTTGAGACTTGAACTAGATTCAGCTTGATCTTACGAGGATCACCTTAAGTTATCACTGATAACAGGTCAGTTGTCGATTCGTCGGTTTACGACTCAACTCCAATCCGCTCTTGCCACTCAACCTAAAGTCTTTAGCCTTGTGATTTGAACTGTTTTGTTGTGTTTTCGCCCATACTTTATTTGGATGGCCATTTAACGAAAGTACTGAGTATTTTATTTTGAGGAGTTGCACAAGAGTGAGTCTTGCATGGCTAAAGCGAGGGGTGTGAGTACAGTGAATGGTTGGAGTTGACCCTCTGTAGTGCATGGACTTTTGTTGGATCTTTGATGTGATTGCATGTATGTTTGTGGTTCGGATTCTCGATGTGACTGTCTGTGATCACATACTTATATATGGCTGACAGGAGCCCCACTGCGACTGTGAGAAGTGATCGTCCTATATAAATAACCCTTGTATATATTTATATGGGCCTTGGGTATTCGCGCGACTTACTGTGATCGTGCGTAAGGTTTAGACAAGGGAGATTCTTTTTTACCCTTTGCTTTTTAGAGTTTTATAGTTGGACGTTGTAGTCCGTGGCAGCCGTCAAAGTCAAACCCCTTGACTTATCTCCAGACCCTAGATGATGGAGCTGGTCTCCCGGGCAATAAGAGACGATTGCCACCACAGGTATGAACCTGTGTACCACCCACTCTCCGCAAGGTGCAAAAGAGGGTGTGGTTCTCAACCGCACTTGGCGGTTGTCCAACGTCGATAGATCAATCCCTCAAGGCGCGTGTCAGCCGACACTTGCGTGTCGAACGCGACCCTCGAGATTAACGAGGATCACGTGAGTATGGGTACTACATAGTACGCCATCATCGCGATCGCTTGCGTACCCTTGCATTGCGAATCGATATGAGTTAGCCCTGCGTCCGCGCGGTTTTATACTTAGTCTCGCTCGTGACGCCTATCCGATTTCTGCATTGGAAAGTTATGGGATGGCTACTAAGGGACTAGGAGTGTTGTCGCGTTGTTTGTTCAGTGTCGTTCTGTATATATATATATATATA